TATTTTTTATTTTTTATTTTTTTTTTTTAAGGTTCACAACCATTTTTTTTTTAATTTTTAAGATTCACAACAAAAGCTAAATATACATTCAATCTTATTTTATTTTATTTGGTTCAACAATAAAATCAAATACACATTAATTAATTAATTAAAAAGTTTGTTTTATAATAATCAAATATATAATTTTGAGACAATCAAATAAGTTTTAGTAATTGAAAAAAAAAATGTAGAAGAACGTGGAAGATTAAAAAAAAATTACAACCATCTCTCTCACTCCCTCTCTCACTCTCACTCTCACTCTCACTCTCTCCCCTATATGTTATAAGAACCTGTTTACAGTATTATAAGAGCCTGTTTGAAGAAATAAAATGTGATAGAACCTGTCTGAAGAAAGTGTTATAAGACTCATATTAAATTGCATCATGGCATAAACTAGGAATTGTTTGTTGATCTCTTAGCCACGGACATTTTAGGCATTAAACCATCTTTCTCTTAGCAAATTTGAACCATTCATTTTAATTTATCCAAAATCTAATTATACCTTTTAACAAATTTGATCCACTCATTTTAAGATATCTATGCCTTACCACACCCAATCCATCCTCCATCTTCTTCCTTTAGTCCTCTACGAATTTTGTTGTTTGTTACTTTTAAAAAACAAAAAAAATGTTTTTCCAATTAAATTTTTACTAATTTCACAACACCATCACCACTATTCTCACCTTCACTATTACACTACCATCACCATAGCCACTACCATAATCACTGCCGCCATCACCCCACCACTATGTCACAATCTCTACTTTTACCTTCGTTCCATCATTACCACCACCAAATATAAAAAAATATATTTTTAATTTTTTTTATAAAAATATTTTCTTTTTCATTAAAAAATATTTTCTATCTAAATAAATGAATCATAACATTGGGAAACAAGCTGATTTCAGTTAAATCTGTTCATAACTAAGAGAAATTCTTTTATTTTTAAAAAAATTATTTAGTAAGACTTTGTATTCCCTTTTTGTTTTTCTAGCAAATAAATCTTTGTACCCATGCTTTCTAACCAATCACGACTCATGCTTGTTTCGATTCTCTACAATTTCCTTATTTTCAAATACATTTATATATATATATATATATGTTGTATAAATTGTGTGATAATATAAAACAAATAGATTCATACTCGTTAATTGAAATTTCAGAACAAGCAAACCATTCTGAAAATTACAATACATAACAAAATAAAATAACATAGAAAAGCAAATCGAAACCTGCACTAGACAGTGTCCTTAATTTTTTTAAATAAATTTAAAAAATTCTAGATATGTCTAAAATTTGACAAGAATAATGTGACAATGTTAATTAATGTGTATTTGATTTTATTGTTGAGCCAAATAAAATAAAATAAGATTGAATGTATATGTAGCTTTGGTTGTGAATCCTTAAAATAAAAAAAAATAAAAAAAAGGTTGTGAACCTTAAAAAAAAAAATTTAAAAAAAACAAAAAAAAAAAGATTGAACGTATATTTAGCTTTGGTTGTGAATCTTAAAAATTTAAAAAAAAAATGGTTGTGAACCTTAAAAATAAAAAATAAAAAATAAAAAAAGATTGGATGTATATTTAGCTTTGGTTGTGGATCTTAAAAAAAAATGGTTGTGAACCTGAATAAATAAATAAATAAAAGAAAAAAGATTGAATGTATATTTAGTTTTGGTTATGAATCCTTAAAAAAAAAAAAACATATGGGGAAATTAATAGGTACTAGGGCTGAGCAACGGATATACCGATCCGCCAAAACCGACCGAACCGAACCGATCCGCCGCATTTTGGACGGATGCGTGATGACGAGCGGACAGTTGCGGATTGATTTTCTCCAATCCGCCAATTTGGCAGACGGATGGCGGATTTGAGATTTCTTTGGCCGCAACCGAACTGCCAAACTGCCAAATCGCAAGCATCCCTAGTAATTTATAAGACTTTGTATTTTCAATTTGTTTAAATATTATGTTTGTGTTTTCAATTGAAAAAGAGTTTAAATATTCTGTTGAAAAAAAGTTTTCAACTTGAATATATTTTTTGAATTGAAAAAAATAAACGTATTATTTATCTATATTTTTTGGTTTTTAAATCTACCTCTAAAAATAATAAATAGAAAATATGATATATGCTGGTTAGTTTTTGTTTTCAAAAACATATGTAGATATAACAATACAGAGACATACAATCTCTACTACTGCTCTGTTTATGGTTTTGGTGGTTTGAATTGTTATTATATTTTAAGAATCACAGATTGTAATACTTTATGTGGATGAATTATGCTGTGATTGTAATATGCGGATGAGGCATGCAGTGATCGTAATATTCTAAAGTTTCAAACTTTCTTTCTTTGGATAAGGCATACAGTGATTGTAATACTTTTTTAAGTCATTGACTGTAATACTTTTTTTTTTCATGGTTAGGCTTATACGATCACCTTGGCAAGTAATGAATATTTTTTACTTCCACACAAACTTTCTTATTTCAGAAAAACTACAATTTTGGAAGAGACGAATTTTGATATTTTAATTTAATAATTGTATAAAATTTAAACCGCCAAACCGATTCGCATCCATCTGCCAAACCGCCAATCCGCTCAATCCACATCCACCGGATTGGCGGACGGATGGCGGATTGAAGGTTCCGTGGCCGCAACCGATCCGCGCCCACCCCTAATGGGTACCCATTTCCAACCCATTCCCTGTGGATATTTAAAGAATATCACTTACCCTATCCAAAGGATAAGAAAAAAAAGGAAAAACTCATGTATTTAGATTGGGTCTCCATGAATACCCACAGAGTAAGTTATCCATTATCATTCCTAATTATGAAATGAAGGCTGCTAGTCGTGTTGACACAAATGTACCTAAAATACTCGTATATTTGAAAGTTTTAGACTGATACTATTTGTGCACTGTTTTAGGCTTTTCCAAAATATTCTTATATTTAGAGTTTTTAGACTTGTGGTGGTGTCGACACAAATGTGTCAACTATTTGTGCAAAGAGGAGAACAGGCTTTGAACTCATGACTATAGGTTTAATTATTAAGGCTCTTAACACACTATGGTTTCGTTTGGAAAGTTGCTATTTTAATATGTTATTTTAGTTTTTGGCTATTTTAGTAGGTTAAAATTTTTATATTTAGGAAGATGATTAGATTTTTTTGTGATTGGATGTGATGTTTGTGAGAGAAAAAGTGAAATGATTATGGATTTGATGTGATATTTTGTCTTATTAGCTATTTTAGCCTATTTTATCTTTTTGTAAATTTTAACCTAAACTATGCTATTTTTTTCCTTGCCAAATGTGTGTTATGCAAAGAGAAGAAGGATAATGGGTCGTTAACCCATGATCCTAAAATTCATGATCATGGATTTAATAATAAAAGTTCTTGATTGGGAAACACACTATATGTGAAATTTTCTTTGTCATCATTCATATAAATAAATTAACAAAAATAAAAATTTCAAACGGACTGCTAGTACTGTTAATATGTGAATGTTGTTGATGTTGTTGGCACACATTTGTTAAAAAAATTAATTTAATGAAGTGAATGGGGATTGAACCCTTGACATTGGATCTAAGAAAATCAAAATCAAAATCTATATTTTATATATTTAATAGCACACTCATCTGGTTAGCATACACCATTTCGTTTAGATCGTGAGATGATGTGAGAAAAAAAAAATAATTATGATTTTTTATTTATATGAGAAAAGAAATAAAATGATTATAATTTCTCATCATTATGTTTAGATGAATAAAAGATAAGAGAATGTGATTTTATTTATATTGTTTGAATAGAATAAATAAAATAATTTTTTTTTAAATAAATTTTTTTTTTAAAAAAAAAGGAAAGATAAGAGTCATTTTGGTATTTTAAAAAATTTCAATAAATCCAATTACTTTCTCACTCAATCTTATCACTTTTTGTGGGAAACAAAACATTAATTCGGTGAAAATTATTTTCTTACCATTTCTCATCATTTTTTTTTATCAATTCTCACTTACTTTATCATCTATTCAAGTAAAAGAGTTTAATTACACTAATAGTCCCTATAGTTTGGGACTTGTGTCACTTTAGTCCCTGACTTTTCAATTGTGACGCATTTGACCATGAATTTTGAATTTTGTTCCAAATAAGGACAATTGAAAATATAATTAAATTTTTCAAGGGTAAAATCGTCAATTTGATAAAATATAAACTAATTTGACAAAAATAAATATCAAAAAAATATTTTTAATTTTTTAAAAATTATTTTTATCCACCAATGATAAAATTATGTAAAATTAATAAAAATTACATGATTAATTTTTTTAAATTAATTTTACATGATTATCATCCAAACATATAATAAAAATTAATTTGGTAAAAAAAAAAATATCTAAAAAATTTATCAATTTTATATAATTTTATTTTTAGTAGGTAGAAATAATTTTTAAAAATTCAAAAATATTTGTTTGACATTTATTTTTGTCAAATTAGTTTATATTTTATCAAATTGACAATTTTACCCTTGAAAATTTTAATTATATATTCAATTGTCTTTATTTGGAACAAAATTCAAAATTCATGGTCAAATGTGTCACAATTGAAAAGTCAGGGACCAAAGTGAAACAAACCCCAAACTATAGGAACTATTTGTATAATTTACCCAAAAGTTTCTATTATCATTATTTTTATTTTTATTTTTCTCGCCAAACTCCTCCATCTAAACGGAGTGTAGATGATCCATACATATGGATGGATGGATGGATGGAATTGTAGCTGAATTCTTTCAACAAACTTTGTAAAAAATCAATCCACAAACGTTTCTCCAAAAACAATGACAACTTCAAATCAAGAAATTAAAGTGCTACAGAGACCCCCAAAAAGCTTAGGCCAAGCCTTACCCAAAAGAGGACAGATTGAAAATTGAAGCAAAACCATCCTCAGATTGTGTGTGTGTGTGTGTGTGTGTGTGTGTAATCATAAAATTGCGAATAACAGAACAATCTATTAAAGTAGAATCCCCCTTTTACCGTTGAATTGAATGACACTCTCATCTCCAATACCCAGAACCCATCTCAGCCGTCCGATTCCACAAGAAATTGGCGGGTCCCATGTTATGGTGGACCCTCACTCAGTACAAGCAATTCCAAAGACTCATCCAGACCGTCCATTTCACGGTTTGACTTTGAGTCCACCCTAAGGGATTAGGATTCTTCAAGAGTCGTTTTGTTTTGTAATTGGTCTTCTTTCTCAGTCTTGCATTGATCAATCTTTGATCTGGGTCTTTGTTATTATACTGGTTTTCCTTTGTTCTTCAATTTGTGTTTATTGTTGAACCTGTTGAGTTCTAGTCTTTTCTTTCAATTGGGTTTTTTTCTCTGTGAGTAATTTTTACAAACACCCATTCACATCTTGCTGATTCTTGATGAATTTGGATCTGGGTTTGGGTTTTCGTTCTTGTTCTATCTGTTTTTAATCCTCTTCTTGCGATGCAGGCTTGTAGGTAAGACCTTTCTTGTTTCTTTGACTTGGGTTCTGTGGCCATTGGTCTTCCAAACCTTCTATGGGAAAATTTTCCCATTCCTAGATGGATCCTAATCTGGAGTTGTGTTACAATTCTGGTTTGTTTTGCTAATATACATGTATTGATATGTCTGGTTGTTGAATTTGGGTATGTTTGTTGATTTTGTGAATTTGGGTTGAGAGAGTGGTAATCTCTGGAGATGATTGGTTCAAGCATGAACTTGATTACAACAGTTATTGGCACTTCTAAATTGGACTTATCAATAAAAATCCCTTTTTTTTTTTATCAATTCTCACTTACTTTATCATCTATTCAAGAAAAAGAGTTTAATTACACTATTCCTTATAGTTTGGGACTTGTGTCACTTTAATCCCTGACTTTTCAATTGTGACGCATTTGACCTTAAATTTTGAATTTTGTTCCAAATAAGGACAACCGAAAATATAATTAGATTTTTCAAGGGTAAAATCATCAATTTGATAAAATATAAACTAATTTGACAAAAATAAATATTAAAAAAATATTTTTAATTTTTTTAAAATTATTTTTATCCACCAATGATAAAATTATGTAAAATTAATAAAAATTACATGATTAATTTTTTAAAATTAATTTTACATGATTATCATCCAAACACATAATAAAAATTAATTTGGTAAAAAAATAAATAAATGTCTAAAAGATTTATCAATTTTATATAATTTTATTTTTAGTAGGTAGAAATAATTTTTAAAAATTCAAAAATATTTGTTTGATATTTATTTTTATCAAATTATTTTATATTTTATCAAATTGACAATTTTACCCTTGAAAAATTTAATTATATATTCAATTGTCTTTATTTGGAACAAAATTCAAAATTCATGGTTAAATATGTTACAATTGAAAAGTTAGGGACCAAAGTGACACAAATCCCAAACTGTAAGAACTATTTGTGTAATTTATCCAAAAGTTTCTATTATCATTATTTTTATTTTTATTTTTCTCGCCAAACTCCTCCATCTAAACAGAGTGTAGATGATCCATACATATGGATGGATGGATGGAATTGTAGCTTCTTCCAACAAACTTTGTAAAAAATCAATCCACAAACGTTTTCCCAAAAACAATGACAACTTCAAATCAAGAAATTAAAGTGCTACACAGACCCCCAAAAAGCTTAGGCCAAGCCTTACCCAAAAGAGGACAGATTGAAAATTGAAGCAAAACCATCCTCAGATTGTGTGTGTGTGTGTATATGTATGTATGTAATCATAAAATTGTCGAATAACAGAACAATCTATTAAAGTAGAATCCCCCTTTTACCGTTGAATTGAATGACACTCTCATCTCCAATACCCAGAACCCATCTCAGCCGTCCGATTCCACAAGAAATTGGCGGGTCCCATGTTATGGTGGACCCTCACTCAGTACAAGCAATTCCAAAGACTCATCCAGACCGTCCATTTCACGGTTTGACTTTGAGTCCACCCTAACGGATTAGGATTCTTCAAGAGTCGTTTTGTTTTGTAATTGGTCTTCTTTCTCAGTTTTGCATTGATCAATCTTTGATCTGGGTCTTTGTTATTATACTAGTTTTCCTTTGTTCTTCAATTTGTGTTTATTGTTGAACCTGTTGAGTTCTAGTCTTTTCTTTCAATTGGGTTTTTTTCTCTGTGAGTAATTTTTACAAACACCCATTCACATCTTGCTGATTCTTGATGAATTTGGATCTGGGTTTGGGTTTTCGTTCTTGTTCTATCTGTTTTTAATCCTCTTCTTGCGATGCAGGCTTGTAGGTAAGACCTTTCTTGTTTCTTTGACTTGGGTTCTGTGGCCATTGGTCTTCCAAACCTTCTATGGGAAAATTTTCCCATTCCTAGATGGATCCTAATCTGGAGTTGTGTTACAATTCTGGTTTGTTTTGCTAATATACATGTATTGATATGTCTGGTTGTTGAATTTGGGTATGTTTGTTGATTTTGTGAATTTGGGTTGAGAGAGTGGTAATCTCTGGAGATGATTGGTTCAAGCATGAACTTGATTACAACAGTTATTGGGTTTGGGATGAGTGCCACTTTTATTGTGTTTGTCTGCGCCAGACTAATCTGTGGGAGGCTTCGCCGGGTGAATTCAAGGCAGATGTTTGAGATTGAGTCAAGGATTGATCTTGAACAGGTAGATTTGATCCTCAATACTGGTATTGGTTTGGTTTGTTTTGTTTGATCTGTTTGTGTTTGATTGGAGTTCCCTATGATCAATACTTCTCATACATCATATGTTTGTTGCTAGCATCAAAATGTAGAATTACAATTCAAATTTTTTTTTTCTTTGCATTGCAAGTTATGATTTGTTTCATACAAGTCTTGATGGATTGCAAAAGCCATGTGTTAATTTTAGTTTATTTTGGTTGTATATGTCATTGTTGATGGATGGATGTGAAGAACAGCTTCAAAGTTCAAATTGGTAGAGAAGTGAGGATAAGAGAAAAAGAAAAAGTTGTAGCAAGGGACTAATGTCTGTAATAGAAAGTATGTAGTTGTCCAGGAGAACTAACTCAGCATACTAACATTGTGCTGCCGTACCAATAGATAGGTGGAACCGACCTAACTCATCTTTGTAAGTTGGGTGGGGCACAAGGTTGACCCATCTCAGTGATTGGAAGCACCACATTTATATATCACGGTAGTGCTCTGATGTTTTCAGAACAATAAGAGCAATAGTTATGGGATGGGTGGAGCTGACCTGACTTTCCTTGGTCGGTTGGTGTGTGACAAGGTTAACCCATCCATCTTTTTTGTGACCTCATTGGTTGGAAGTACTACGTGCATATATCACTGTGGTGCTCCAATGCTCCCGGACCAATAAGAGCAATAGTTACGGGATGGGTAGAGCCGACTTAACCTACCTTGGTTGGCTAGATGGGGGACATGATTGACCCATCCATCTCCGTTTGCATAGCCTCATAGGTCAAAAGCATCACGTGCACATGTCAGAGTGGTGCTACGAGAGTACTGAATAATTTTCTCTAATTGTGAAGAGTAGATTAGTCTACCAAATACCAATCTCTGATTGTGGCTTCTTCATTATCACGATGTCTTAGTGTGTTAGTGTTCCTCCATTGCAGTGTACAAAATCAATCATTTCTAAAACTTCATCAAAACTGATTCACCCCAGCTACCATCTAGTAGTGGCTTCCTGGTCATGACCCGAACCCGGTCCTAGAGGTTTGGATCATAATTGGCCAGTAATCATGAGATTATACACGGCCTCAAATAAACTACAGACATATTTAATAATATGGGGGCCAGAAGCGGAAACAGAATTATAGAAGTTTGTCCAATGAACTGTGCATAAATGGCATAAACAGAAACTCCATTTGTATTAATAACTCACACCTCACACCTCACTTCTCTTGAGCACAAGACACGTGCACACACAATGCTTTCAGAGACTTGACTTTTAATTAATTTCCATTTTCTATTATTTTTATGTCAAGAAGTTGTATACATTCCAGAGCTTCGACATTTAACTTTTCATCCTTTCCTGACAGCCAGAGCATCAGAATACTGGCCTTGAACCAGTTGTTGTTGCTGCAATTCCCACAATGAAGTTTAACCATGAGGCTTTCAGTTCCATGGGAGATGCACAGTAAGTGTATTCACCCATCTTCTTGGCACCTATGAAGCACAAACACTTCAAATTAATCATCGTAGCCATGTCCAATGCTTGTCAGACATGAAGACGCCTTTGACTTGCCATGACACGTGTCGGACACACCTCATGTATGCAATATTTTGTTCTCATTGGACACATTAGGCTCACTTCACAGACATGCGTGTCTTGCCTCCGGACACACCCTAAGACACTTGTGAATATTTATTTTTTTATGAATGATCTATCCATTATTAAGGGTTCGTTTGGGAATTGACTTTTTCTAGTGGCTTTTTGATTTTTACGAAATGACATGCAAAAAAGTAGAGAGAATGAGTGGCATTTTTGTATTGGTTTTTTTGGCTATCTTAGCCAATTGTCAAACATGGCCTAAATTAAGTACTTTTAACATTTGTGATGTAAATACAATTGACAAAATAGTAAATTGTATGTTGAATGATGTTTAAATTTATAGATTGAGTGATTTTTTTCATATTGAATTAGTTTTAGTTTTTTCATCATTTTTAGTTATTTGTTGGTTTAATATTCATATACATAGCAAATAAAAATAAAACTAACATATTTTTTATGTATCCTTGTTGTGTTCGTGCCATGATTTTTTAGAAATCGCTATGTCCTAGGTCCGTGTCCGTATTTGGATCCATGCTTCTTAGGTTGGCACTAATTGTACATGGACTTCCCATCATATGCTTTTTTTTTCGTTTTGTTTTTTTGTAGGTGCACAATATGTTTGGGAGAGTACCAAGAGAAGGAAGTATTGCGAATCATGCCCCAATGCGGCCACAATTTCCACCTCTCTTGCATCGATGTATGGCTAAGAAAGCAGTCAACCTGTCCAGTTTGCCGGTTGCCCTTACAGGACTCCTTCGAAACAAAGCACGCAAGACTAGCACCACTTGCTATGCCTCGGCCTGTTGATAGGCCCGAGATTTTGATCAATCATTCTCAGCAATGGCACAATGAATCCGCAAGTGAAAACCAGCCCGGAGAAGCAGAAATTAGATAATATAACAGAAGCAAAGCAGAAATTCTCTTCCGAAGCCAATTGTGTGGCTTTGCTCATGATGTCTAGACTTCTGATGTGGAGGAGTTCAGTCATGATGCTCAACTATTGAAATCGATCCCTTTTTTTTTTTTTTTTTTTTTTTTTTTTTTTTTTTAAGTTGAGAAAGTTGGATGATGAGATTGGTATATATACTAGTTGTCCTTGTGATATATATTTTTTTATTTTTTATTTTTAAAATTTTGATTGCAAAATCATTTATTTACCATTAGAGTTTCAGTAAAAACAATTTATAATAAGCTGAAAAAAAAGAAGAAGATTATCCAGAGTGGCGGAGGAGTGCTTTAGATTCAATTTGTAGATTATCAAGTTTCAATGTTAAATGAACGGTAATAAACAAATTAATATAATATTAAATACACCTTAACAAGTATAGATTATCAAGTTTCAGGTTGCACATCATCTTGCCCGGATGGCCAAGGCATCTTGCTCGCTACGGTCTACAGACATGGATGGAAGAGGTCTCTGAGTCCCTTATGGGCTTGGTTTTGGTAGATACTTCTAGTTGAAATCTTTGTTTGATCAGCAACCTATCTAAAAACAAAAACAAAATAAAAAGGCGAGTATCCCTAAGACACTAATTAGTAATAAGTCAAATAGATCACTAAAGATGAGCATCTCTAACAAATTCTTTAAAACAGGCCAACTCATGCACTTCTTTATGTTAAACTCTAAAAATTTTTCTTATATTTTCAATAAATTATCACAAATCATTAAAAAATGGAACAATAGTAGTATGTATACGTTATTGAGTTTGTGAGGTGAAAAAAATAATGAAATTCACACCAAAATAGGTGTTTGGTTATATATAAAATAGGTCTTATATTTCTTGTAAAGAATTCCTAAATTATAACCCTATTCTTTTCTTGTAATTTCTTTAGGCTTGACTTATCTCTTATGCCAAATCGGATTAAAGAGATACTATTAGACTCATTGGACCCACTTTTAGATCCTATTTGGATGATTATGACAATTCACATTTTAGGATTCGTCGAGTATATCATCTCTATAAAAAATTCAGTCAATCGGATCACGGAAACCACATGTTTAGATTAGTTTTGTATGAAAAGAATGGATGGTGAAAAAATAAACAATTCATATGAAATTGAATCAAACATGTAATTTCTGTTATCCAATTGACTTGATTTTTTGCAGAGATGATATACTCGACGAATCCTAAAATATGAACAGTTCAAATCATTGAAACAGAATCTAAAAGTGGAGTGCAATCTAGTCCCACTTCTTTATTATAAAGGTTTAAAACAATATGAATTTAGGAAATTTTGGCTCAACATAGGCCTTTGCAAAAAGGAATTCATCATAACTAGTTTTTCCTATTAATCGATTTGATAAACACCAAAAAGTAACAAAAGGTTTCTAGCCCAAGTTGTACCAACACTCAATCATAGTTGAAACCCCTTTTTTTTTCTTTTTTCTTTTTTCTTTTTTCCATAAATTGGGTGTTGCCAATTTTTTTGGATAACTAGTAGTGGTTGATTTTGTATTTATTTATCAAATTTGTGTTATTTTTTATAGACATGGTTTCAAAATCTAAGGTTCAAAAAGGAGGCTGATCCAAAGGTCAAAGCCCAACATATTTAGGCCCAAAACAAATTTAATACTCCATTAAGTCCTCAAATTATCAATCAGATGAAAATACCCACAATATATCATCCAATTTACACGCGCGCAACCATCACCCACGATCATCTCAGTTTGATCAGTACACTGTCATATCTCCGCTGCTCGAGATCGCATTCTCAATCCTCTATCCCTCCTCCGTTCGACTCCATTCCCTCTGAAACCCTACCCTAACCACAAAACGAAACCGTTCATCTTCAACACAACACCAAGCCGTTCACATTCTCCAATCGGCGACTCTCAACAATACGAAGAACCATCACCACTCTGAAGAAATTTCATAGTTCCTGACTTCTAATTCACAGAAATGGGGAAAAAAAGTAACATCTCTCTTCACCTATCCATTATTTTTCATTCAAATTTGTACATTATTCTTTCATATTTCGTATATACCGTTTCAATAACACTTTCATAAAAAAAACCCTTATAAAACACATTTTACATACTTCAAAATGTATAAACCCTCTTTTATATATAATCCCCTGTTTTAAAACATTCTAGTCCCTTGTTTTTAAACATTTTAATTCACTGTTTTTACACATAAATCTCTGTTTTTACACATTCAACACCTTATTCTTATTCTTGTTGTTCAATATTGGCTTTTCTTCTTCGTATTGTTGCTACATTTCGTTGAATACTTAATCTTCTCGTTGTTATTGTTGCTGTTTACAAAATACAATGGGATATTCTTATTGTTGATACTGTTTATAAAAACTGCAACATTATACAGTTTCATTTCATCACTCTACAATGAACATATCTAAATTTATTCAAACTGCAAATGAAACTATAAAATTACACAATTTAATCACTACTCAAAACAAATAGGTAACTTATTATAAAGTGAAAATCAAATTGTCAAATTATACAGTTTCGTAACTCTTACCAACAAATAGATATAACTTCATATTAAACTGCATATAAAACTGTAAAATTATACAGTTTTGTCACTATATTACTCATGCCCTGCTGTCGCTTTCACTTTTTCTGAAATAGCTGTTGGAAGATATTGGAAGAAACAAACCCAAATGCCCAAAAATCTAATAAGGGATTTAAGTATCTCCCCTTTTAAAAGTCCTTCCCCTGTATCTATTGAAATGCCACCAACATCTCTCCCTTCACAAAAAACCCAACCACCACAACCAAAAACAACCAAACACCACAGACCCCACCCAAAAACCTACAAAACAACCACACTACCTACAAGAAAAAGCTCAAGAACTACACCACAGACTCCACCCACACAACAAACACCAACCACACCTCCAACCACAACAAAAACAAACAAAAGAAAGTCAACAAAAAAACAAGAAGCTCCTCCAACCAAAAAAAGAAAGTTTCAAGAAAGCCAATCAACTCCCAAAACAAAAACCAAGGCATCAAAAGGGAAAAAAGTAGCAGTCCCTGCAAAGAGAGTCCAACAGTTTAATTACCGTTCCAACATCGGAACAGTAATCAGAACGGTAATTAAACTGTTGAAGGGGGTTAAATTCACAAAAGCCCAACAGACAGAACTGGAAAAAAACCCCTTTTTGACCCATTATAAATGCTCTCTCCTCAACACAACTGAAGGCCTCTTGGTGCAGATGCTACAATTTTATTGTAGCAGAAATGACAACACTCTACAATAAAAGAAAAAGAGCATTTATACTTGGCAAAAAGGAAATGAAACTCAAAAACAGTGATATCAAACTCATTTTTGGTATCGACTGTGGAGAAGACAGTATCACCACCAAATTCTATGCAAGACCAAAGGATTTTGAGCTTGCATTTTACAAACGAAGATGCAAATCAGTAAAGAGATTGGATGGCAAGTATTTGACCAAAATGTTTCAACAAACAAAAAAAGAAAAATCAACCAATGATCGTTAAGATCTTGCAAGGGTCATCACCTTTTACTTGTGCTTGAAACTTCTCATGTCTACAACAAGCCATACACTTAGTTGGAGTTGCCTTAACTATGTTGACAATCTCAACAACATCAAGAAATACAATTGGGTTGAGGCAATAAAAGACACACTGATGAATTCAATGGCAAATGCAAACAACAACCCAAGGCATGTCACTGGATGCGTCATGTTACTCTTGGTAAACACACTACTTAACTACTTCACACAAAAATATCAAACATCCACCTATTTATAACTATCTAACATATTTCAATTTTTTTTTACAGTACTGGTACTGTGAGCACAGTAAACTCCTCTGACCATCCAACAAAGAATGCTTCCCAAGGTTTATGAAATGGAACCTTGGCAAAATGTACTTCAAGTGGAAACAAATCAGCCTCGCTCACTTTGAAAAGGTATTCAAACTCTTCTATACTATCATAGCATAAATCTATTCAACACTCATTTCACAGTCATCATAGTAAAAATCATGTTATGAAACTGTCAAATTCTTTAGTTTCAAACAACACATATTTAACACTTGACTCACATTATTCACAGTACAAATCATATTATGAAATTGTAAAAGTTTGCAGTTTCAAAGCACACACTTATTTAATATCACTCATGTTATGAAACTGTAAAATTTTACAATTTAAACGCACAAATCTATTTCACATCACTCATATTATGAAACTGTAAAAATTTTCAGTTTCAAATAACATATTTCGACACTTAACCCACATTACTCACAGTATAACTCATCTTATGAAACTGACCAATTCTAAAGTATAACTGATATATGCCACATTATTTCAATGCAGGTTGACCAAAGTGCTTTAACCCCAACTGAACAAGAAATACAGTTATTGCATATCAATCAAAGCACATCAACAGACTCTTCAGCAAAAAAACATGACCACAAAAAGGACAATAAGCGAAAAAAACAAACAAAAGCAACAAAAAAAAGACTTCTAGAGAGTGATGAGGATGACTTTCTTGAAGAAGAACATCAATCAGAATCAGAATCAGAACAAGAAGAACAACAACAAAAAAAAAAAGAAGCAAAAACCACAAGAAGAACCAGAAAGTGATGAACAAGAAGAAGAGAGTGATGACGAAAAAAAACGAGTGACTAATGAAGAAAAATATCATGATGAAGAAGAAGACAATGAACAAGACAATGATGAAGCAGAAGAAAGAGAAGAAGCAAAAGGTGATCAACAAGCAGACACTGATGAAGAAGAAGACTAACAACAAGAACAAGAAGAACAACAAACAAACCAACAACAAGAAGTCAATGAATAAGAACTGACAGACCAACAACAACAACATGAAAAAAGAGAACAAACAAAACAACAAGAAGAATAAAGGACAGAACAACAAGAAGAACTCCAAGAGAAATCTGACATATTTCATGCACAAGGTAAACTCTTGTCTAATATTGAAGCAAACTGCAAAATTTAATTAAACTAACCAAAACACAATCCAACATTTTTATAGGTCATGACCAAGCACAAACATCAATCAAAGAGGACAACAAGGACAAGTTCATATCAGCCATGAGAGCAAAAATGCAAGAAATGGAACAAAAATTCATGGTTGAATTGCGTAAAAAAGAAGATCAATTGAAGCAAATGTCTGCCAAAAAAACCAACAGTCCCCAACAAAGATTAATGGTCAAGAGAATCAAACAAAAGTCAAGAAAACAAGCACATGAC